TTTAAAATTGAAACGTTTCAGTAATAAAAAGACCGAAAAAAACCGAACGGGCAAAAAAAAAAACGTTAAAAACTAGACTCGAATATAAAAGTGTTTTCTTGAATTAATGGAATTAAAGTTTGGATTATTGTTATTGAGAGGAATTTTTTTTTTCGGTGAAAATGACTAGGAAAATGCCGGTAGCGATAGTAGGCAATCCTTGACTGGACACGCTAATCACAGTATGTATATAGACTTGAAGAGCGTGAGGGAGGTCCGAGTTCGTTGGACCTTCAAAGTTCGGTGACCTTGAGAGGAAAGAGACGATGAGGAAGAGACCAGACGAGTCAGAAAGAAATTAAAACGGAATTTGCGGTTACAGAATTGCACAGTTAATAGTTTTTTGTTACGAGTTTTTTTTTTCTCTCGAGCAAACATTTTAATATTATTTATAAAGTGAAACACATTTTAGCCAAAAATTTCAGTCGACAAAGTCGAAAATTGTAAATTAATCAGTCAGCGGACTCTATTTTTTTCTAAAATTAATTCCCAAAAAAAACTGATAGTAGAAAATAATTTTTTTTTTTGTTTTATTCTTTATTTTATATTTTTTTTTGGGCTATTTTTCCTGAAATCTACACTTGAAAATAAACATTTGTGCCAAATTTCAGTCGACTGGGTCAAAAATTGTAAAAGTTAATCAGTGGTCCGAGTGGATCCCCTATTTTTTTCTAAAAATCATTTTTAAAGAAACTAAATTCAAAACTTTTTTTTTCATTTTAATTTTATTTTTTAAAACTATTTTTCCTGAAATCGACAATTAAAAATACACATTTGTGCCAAATTTTAGTCGATAAGGTCCAAAATTGTAAAAGACAACGGTTTCGAAATTTTTAATTTTTATTACCATTAATTACAAATATTTCCCGCAGCATTTTATTATTCCTACTAAAATAATTAATTAATTGTTCATGAAAATTTTTTTAATGCACTTTTAAGGAAAAAATATTGTGGAATTTCGAAATAATTGTAGACTTTTGCATATATAATTATGTTAATGAAGTTAATGAAGTTAAGAACAAAACTACTTTTTCCTAACGACTCACTAGTCGCATTTGATTATTAAAAAATATTATCTACTTTTTCGTCTTGGTTTAATGGTCATACTATAGTAAAGTATATATATATGTATAGAAATTAACAGTCTTGCAAAAGTCGTTAGAAAAAAAACTGCAATTCACTTTGAAAGTGCTATATTTATGTGTACTTGCCAATCGCCTCAACTATTGGATATAATTGAATAAAATTTGTTTCTCTAAAGAATTTCTGCCCTAATAATAGAACAATTACTATTATTTGAAAATATTATATATTTCACGATATTTTTAAGTCCTTAATTTTTCCGTCTTTAGAAATAGTTACTTATCGTAAATTTTTTCAATTTTTTAAAGTCTAAAGAGTTTTTTTTATTTAAAACTTTGACTTTTTTTTTATTTTTTTTTACTCTAAAACATAATTTTTAATCTTTGAAGATTAAACTTTTTTAAAAATATAAAATTTACCTTCTTAAAAAAATTTTTCTTTTGGAACTCTTTTTAAACTTTGAAATAAAGGAAAAAGCCTCTTTTAAAGTGGACGAAAAGGTCATAAAAAAGAATCTTAAAACTACTGGAATTTTTTATTATTTTTTAAAGTGAAATTCAAAACAACCGATTTCCAAATTTAAATTTTAACTCGAATGATAAGAAAAATAGATTCATTGATGAAAATCCCAAGACCCTAATAATAACTGTTTCAAGATTTCTTCTACAGAATTATTCTACAGATAAAGATTTTTTTACTCAAAAATAATCTTAAATTTTGATAATTATTCAAAAATTTAGAAACAAGTTTCATTTTTCAATGTTTTTTTTTAAAAACGCACTAAAAAATTTTTTAAAACGCTTTGAAACTTTATTAAATTGTTGTCCTGCATGAGAGTAACAAGTTCATAAAATTTTAACTCGAAACCACTTTCTTATTTTATGGGAAGCATTATCAGCTTTCAATCTGGAAGTACATATATATTGCAAGAGAAGAGAAATAATGACATCTCAATTGGGTCGAAACTAAAAGATTTATTTTATTTATTTTGCTTTAAAATTTTCAAAGAAAAACATAAATTTTATTCTTTGAAGAAGAGGATCGTAACCGTATAACATAACCTCGAAACAAAAGGAAAAAATTTTTTAACATCATGCGGAGAATAAAATGAAAATTAATTGCAAAACCATTTTTGAGGATCTAGTTAAAACTTTAAATAGAATTTTTAAATTTTAAACGGAATTTTACATTTTAAAACCAAATTTGAAATTTTACAATTTTAAAAACAATTATAAACTTTAAACAAAATTTTTAATTTTAAGAATTTTAAATTTTAAAAACAATGAAAAAGTTTTAAAAAAAATGTTTTTCATTATCAAATGAAAAATTAAATAAATTTTTTACATTCTAAATTCATTTCTGAGTGAAAAACCGTTTTAGAAAGAAAAGACACTCAATTTAAGTTAATTGACAACAATTATTATTCATTTGCAGAATTGTTCAATAACAATAATTATTTACTATAAATAATAATTACGTGTAAAGTGACTCTTAAGTCGAACGATAATCGTGCATCATTTTCTTTAAAAAGGAATATTAATTATTAATTATTACTCTACTATTATGCAATTAAATAATTATTTTTTTATTATTTTTTAATTTTTAGTAATTAATTTAATTATTAATTATTTTTCACTTCTTTTTAAAAAGTGTCATTTCGTTTCAAATTATTTTTTATTCAGAATAAATGAATGTAAAATTTAAATAAAAATTCACACAGAGAAAATGATGGATTTAACGTTAAAACTTAAATTTTGTAATTTTAAGTTCCTGACCCTGAAAAAAATTTATTTGATTCAAGGAAATGTTTATTTACTTTAAGTAAATGTTTATTTGATTCAAGTAAATAATTTTTTGATTCAAGGAAATGTTTATTTGATTCAAGTAAATATTTATTTGATTCAAGTAAATATTTATTTGCCTCAAGTAAATATTTATTTAATAATAAACAAGTAATTGAATATTTAAATAAATTTTTTTTTCATCATTAATTCCTACCCATTAATTTTCATGTCGATAAATTTTTTTCAAAAAAAAAAAGTGTTTTATTCAGCGAGAGTAAAAAATAATAAGTTCAGCGAAAAGTGAAATTTTTGGGACGATGCAAATTGTATGCGCGAAATAATGAAGTGCGGAGAGTGCTTGGGTGGTTTTATAAAAGACTTTCTTTTTTGTGGGTCTGCAAACGCGCTGAGATCGTTAAAGAATCATTACTCCATCTCACTTTGTATCATCTCAGTTCAATTCATTTCCTCCTTCAATTCTGACGCTCTCTTTTCCTCTTATTGCATGCATATATATATATATATGAAAATCTGGGTCGCACGACTGCGTTCACCTTCTATCGAGCTGCAATGTCTTCACTTGGAAGGTCGTCCGCACCAACGAGAAATTTTTTTTTTTATTTTTTTCTACTACCAACTCCCTTTTACCTCAGAAGTTCACTTTTCATAATTCCACATTTATTCCGAAATAGGAAATAATAAAAAAAACCGCATTTCATACACTACTGACCTTTAGAAATTTCATTCGCAACGTAATGGGAGTAATTTGAAAAAATTATTGCCAAATTGGTCACAGTCGTTAAGGCGCTTGCTATTGCAGTTCGCGTTGCACGTTCGAAACCACCCGGGGGTAATTTTTTTTTATCTTTTCTCCATTATTGTTATTATAGTCGAAACCGAAAAATATTTCAGAAAAGAATTAAAAATTGTTTTGCAAATTAAAAAAAAAAAAAAAAAAAAAAAAAAAAAATTTTAAAGGGGGGGTATTAAAAATGGAAATTATTATAATATTTCTTCTTATTTTGTATGAATTTAAAAATGTTAAGGAGAAATTATTAAAAATGGGAATATTAAAAATTAAAAAAAAATTTTTAATTTAAAAATTTAAAAAAATTTAAAAATTAAAAAAATTAAAGACGAGAATACTAAAAATAGAAATTATTAAAGATCGGAGTTTATTAAGAAAGAACAAACGGTAAAAAAGGAAATTAATTAGTCAGGGCTAATTATTAGGTTGTTAATTAAATTAAGATGTTTATTAATTTCAAGAATTGGAGACACTAGCTTGACAATTTAAAGGGTGTATGGGTATATAATTTCAGAATTGCGCAAGTCGTTAAGATTACTAGGCACGAGTGTCTGGATCGCAGAGCTCAGGGAGTGTAACGCGTGTGGTCGAAATTTTTTTTTTTTTTTTTTTTTTATCACTCCTCCGTGAATGTGATACCCGAGACACAGGCACCTGCACTCATGATAAGTGGAAAGGAAGAGTAAAACCAAACGTAATCGAGAACCTTGCTCTGGGGCGAAAGCAACTTGTCAGAAACTTTGATATACGAATAGTCATTATAAATATATTTCATTCTCTCCAATATAATAACTGTATAATACTGTAAAATTGAAAAATTCAATTAATTTTCATTAATTAATTACTCAACAATATTTGGGTGATTGTTTACTTTAAAAAAAATTTTTTTTTTTTTTTTATAAAATCAATGCTTTTATAATTTATTAACCGCTTTCATAGTAAAAAACTTATCGCATTTTTAAAAAAATTAATAAGTTTTCTTCATAAATTTTCAGTTTTTTTTTATTAAAATTTTTGTTGCTGCAAAATTTTTAATTAAATTTTGAAATGTTTAAAAAAAAAAAAAGTTTTAAAATGTTTAATAAAATTTTGTAATTTTCGAAAATTGTCCACGATATTGTCAACAATAAAAATAGATTTGACATTTATGAATGTAAATGAAAATGAAAAAAAAAATTTGTTCCGATATTTTAATGAATAGTTGTATTTAAGAAAAAAAAATAAGTTCGGTCTTGTTGAAGATTTGCTAACTGAAATGACGGGGAGATTAGAAAGTGGATACTTACACGTCGGAGGTAGCGAAGGTATTTGTGCTGCTTGTGTAGTGCTGTGCCTCGCCATTGTGATCTAAAACAGAAAGATAACGAATCATTTATGAGAAACCCGAATCGATTCCGAAAGAGAGCAAAAAAAAAAAAAAAAATTGAGCAAAATAAAAGCAACTTCAACACGTCAATCAACAACTCAAGAGAACCACTTCGCCAACGCAACGAACCAGTCGTTCGCGTATGACTTAATCATGTGGAAAGAAACCTGTGAGAACGATTTTCAAGTATCGTATATGTATACGACAAGTTTTGCAAAATATAATCGATTCTTTAAAAAAATAAGGCACTTAGTTTATAAAAATTCTGAATAATATTACAAAAAAGGGCGATATTATGTTAATTGAGTAATAAAGTGCTCATTATTTCCCTAGGGCAATAAAGTGCAGTTTTTTGACCGTTTACAGGTCAATAAAGTACCCATTATTACCCTAGGGCAATAAAGTACCTATTAATACCCTAGGGCAATAAAGTACCCATTAATACCCTAGGGCAATAAAGTACCCATTAATACCCAACAACTCTATATTTGCCTTTTTTGTTTTGAAAACACTTCTTTTTATACCTCTTGACATTAAGAAACCCTTCTAATGCTACAGGATTAATGAAAAGAATAATATGACGAGATAAAGTTAAAAGTATGATTGATTGGAGGCAGTTATTCCATCTCGGATTTACTGCATAAATATAAAATGTAGAAAGACTCTTGGCATTTAATTCTCTTGACCTTCTTTACTGATAATTTCAAGTTACCGACAAAATGAGATGTCGCAGGTTAGTAATAATGGATAATAGTATACAAGTAGTAAGATACTGTCCGAAGTAACTCGGTATGCAAGTAATGAAGTTGTAAACTGGAGATAGTAATTTATGCGGTAAACTGACAAACTTTATATTATAATATAAAAAGATGGCAGGAGAAATCTCTTCCTTTACCAATTTCTGAAAACTGGAATTTTTAACATTTTCGAAATCGAACCCATACCCATGTGGAAAAGTTAACGTTAGTCCAACGACATTTTTTGGTCACTAATGTCAGATTATAACGTTAGCCTAACTTTATTCTAAGGTTAGTTAACGTTAGCCTAACGTTAGCCTAAGGTTAGTTAAGGTTAGCCTAAGGTTAGTAAAGTTAACCTAACGTTAGTCTAACTTTAGCTTAAGGTTAGTTAACATTAGCCTAATGTTAGGCTAACCTTAGGCTAACATTAACTTTTCCACCTGGGTCAGAAGAAAAAGAAAAAAATCAGTAGTTAGAAAAATAATATACTCTCAACTATGACAAGTGAGGGTCTCCAAGCATCCAAAGCATCCAAGGTTTAGATCAGCCTATGGCTAAGAAAGACCTTATCTCCCTCCCCCCTGAATAACATTCACCTTCAAATAATAATTACCCCTTCCTTTCAAAATAAAAACTCCCCTTGAAAAAAAAAAATTCCTGTCCCAGAATCTTATTCTCAGAAACTGGGCCGCGATTGCAAATGCAACGAGATTCTTTATAGCGATGCTCAAGGCAAGGACAACATCCTACTCGTCGATGAATCCCACTTTTATCTTCAATCGTCTCCGATTTAGGAATCAAGTCTCTTTCTAAGTTGCTTATAATTGGCAAACTTGTTTTCAATAGTGGGAGTGTAAATACACATATATTATTACTTTCCACAACACAGTAGGTATAATCGTATGTGTGTGTGTGTGTGAGTTGAAAGTGGTCTAACAAGTCTTGGACGGCAGCAGTGGCAGCAGCCATCCTACTGGTGGTGATCTTGCCCGTGAAAGGACCCAGGGGTCCAAGAGAGGCATTACAAATAAGAATACAACTCCCGAGATCGATTTGTATTTTAAATTGGATTCCCAAGTTGGAGGTCATTGATAATATCTTCATATATGATTTTCCGATAAATGCTTGATGGTAAAATGGGAAGCCGAACGTAATATCTATAACGGATTGTCAATCAATCCGTTAATTCATAAAACAAACTTTATGGATGAGTAGATCATCATTGGGAATTAATTATATGATGGGTTTTTTTTTTAGAAACGGGGTTTCGATTGAAAATCCCGCATGAGGGGAGTAATTGTTTCTCTAAAGAACTTTTTAAGTTCTCTGAAAAATAATAATTAGGGCACTCGAGGGCACTCGAGTCTCGAAGGCATTCGAATCTCAAACGGGTCGAAATTTTTAGGTTTTTGTTATAGTAAAATTCTGGTGTATTTAATTTTTCTAAAGTGAATTTATAAACAAACTGCAAGACATCATTGAAGAGTTGTGTCGAGAAAGAGGTTGAATCAAACCATATAAGGTGCGTAGGCGCGACATATTTGACGTAATCCACAACATGTTTTATACTCGTCAGTTCACATTTGGTTTCTTCGGTGACCAATGACTCATTTTCCTTCAAAAGGCAAAGAAGAAAAAAAAACCCCACACGATTATTACAATTGTATAAAAAAAAGATGCTAAAAAGGAAAAGTGAAATAGAAGACTTGGATTTTTTTTTTTTTTTTTTTTTGAATGAACCAATTTATCATATTGGAAATTGAATACAATTTTTCTAAACTGACATCACCTGTGGCTAATAAGCTTAATAATTTGTCGAAAGGAAAAAAATAATAAATTAGAGGACCTTGTGAGAGGGACACACTTCAGTAACATTGAGAAGAGTATCAGAGTCATTCCAGGTATGCGCTGGGTGTGCGTCAACAATGGAACAGACATCAATAAAACCGACCTAGTTAGACGTGGGCAGAAAAGAGGTGATAAACGACTTTACTCACACACAACTTGGTTACCAAAAGAATATTATTAATGTTTAATAGAATTACAAATGTCGCTTTTGCGGTCTACTCCACCAGTGGTCTGACCTAGTTTGCGTCCTCTGGTAGACAGAAGTCGAGTAAATAATTACGTAACCTAGTGAAAAGTCTTTAGGTGGAAAAGTTTGAGTTCTATTTGTTTTCTAAATATGTGAACATCATTACAGCTGTATTTGACGAGAATGTTAATCATTGCTGTACTTTTGTTGCTGCTACAACTACTACAACAATAACTACTGCTTCTACTACTATTACCACTGCTGCTGCTGCGCTCTACATTCTACATTAATCAAAAGTCAAATTCCAAATTGCTTTGCGAGTAAATTTTAAACATCTCTAATTTTTTCAGCAGATCTTTATGCTTCTCAACAGATTTAATGATCTAAATAGTCGAATTTATCTCAACATGAGACTGAGGTAAATTTTGCTGATCTTTAAGTTTTTTTTAAAAGATTAGCTAATCTAAATACTTATACCATTTGTCGCAACATGAAAGTTAAGTGAATTGCCAAAAAGGAAAGAATCAAAAATTACAATTTTAATTTACGAGTAATTTAATCTGTAAAGCAATCATTAGGTAGCGAAATTAACTCGAGCGAATAATCGACGAATGGTCAATAATATTCCCATTATTTTCCTCTTTTAATAGCGACAGGTTGTTTAATAAGATTGATTGTCGATCGATTGTTATGAAACACTAGCGTGAATCTCTTTCGATATGGTCAATTTATTGCAAAATCAGAGAGAAAATTTATTCTCCTGACGTCATATCATAGTATGTCAAACCATCGAGAAAGTGTCTCTTACAATTGAATTTTATTTCTACAAATTAAAAAACAATTCGAGCCCTTAACTTTGATTTTTGGTCCGCTACAATAAATTTTACACAGAAATCACGAAATAGGGAAAAATTACGGAAATCGGGAAAATACAAAATCAAATTTTTAAGATCTCTACAATTTGAATGTTCTATCATTTCTGGAGAAATAGTTTTTTCTCTTGGTGGTTTTTCTATAAATTTTGATGAAAAATTTCTTTGTTCAACACAAATTTTGTTCACAAGAAATAAATTTTTATCCGAGAGACAAATTTATTCAATTTCGTAATAGAATTATATTACCGACGAGTATAATTTAGATTAGCCATCGACACTTTAATCTGTGGAACTGGTTTGAGAATACATTAAAGACGAGAAAGACTTAAAGATAATAGAAAAATGAGGTAAAAATTTTTGTTACAAAGTATATAACCCGAGGAAGGTAACAAGTAAAATCAATTATTTAACAAGCATTCTAGAAAAATATTACTATCATTATGAAAATATTAACATACTTTATTTTTTATTTCTCTTTTTTTTGTAAATTATATTTCGAGTTTTTTTTCTCCTTTTTTTTCTGTGAAATAATGAGTCACCATTTCTATATAAGAATCAGACAAAGTAGAGTGCGTTGACTTTGAGAATAAATTGTCTTTTGAAAGGAAAATAGCATAGCGCTTTTATGTGACTTTGTATGTTTAAGGAACCTCTCTCACACCTTATACAAGAGCCGCTATGCCGACAAACACCCGTTTTATATTTCCACCTTTTTTGGTGAGATGCGCGCCGTTACTTTTGTTTCAAATATTTGCTGCTTTTTCGCTACGCTTCCTTTTGATAAAAGGATTTTTAAAAAAACACTAAAAAGTAATTTTTTGAACCAAAAGACACAAAAAAGTAATTTTTGAACCAATAAAAATATTAAAAGGTATATTTTTGAACCAAAAGTAACCAAAAAACCACTAAAAAGTAATTTTTGAACCAAAAGCAATTAAGAAGCCACTAAAAAGTAATTTTCGAACCTAAAGTAACCAAGATGTCACAAAAAGTTATATTTTTGAACCAAAAAAACCGAAAAATTACTAAAAAGAAATTTTTGAACTAAAAGCAACCAAAAATGTTTTTTTCTGTTGCTTTTGGTTCAAAAATGGCTAAAAAGCAATTTTTGAACCCAAAAGTAACAAAAAAATCAAGAAAAAAAATTTGCTCTAAATTTTTAGTTACATTGTCTCTAAATTTACAGCAATAGAATATGAAGGGATTGGCGAGTGTTGAATGTTTGTGAAATGAGCGTGGTACAGATCCGGGCGATTATTTAAAAGAATACAAAGTAAAAGTGGGCGTGGCTACCAAGTTGTGCTAACCCGAACTCTTATAGTGATATAAACATAGATTCGACAAGTCACCATGAGTCGCAAAAAAAAAAAAACTACCATATACCAAAAAGAGAAAATTCGATAAAAACCACAAGATAAATAAATACACTACAAAAAAATTTATTTCCTTTATTTTTAAATTCAATTTTCAAATTAAAAATTTAAATTTCAAATTAAACAATTAGTGAACAGATATCTTTAATCACAGCAGAGCCGTTAATTTTCAAGGGAAAGTAATTAAAATTAGTTTTCATTTTCTCGTGTAAACTTTCAAGTTTCTGCTGTATACTGGAAATTACGTCACGGACACGTTTAGCAATTAGCTATTATAGCGTCGTTAAATTAGTTGACATTCATGCAGAGGACAATTTGAATCTTGATTGGCTCATGTTGAATATGAAAATGATCCTGTGCCTTTAACAAGTGTTTAATGATAATAACTCAATTTTACAAAATTTACATTTTACAAAATTGATTTTTCAGTTTTTAATAATCATTTAGTTTTAAATTGTCATTAATTATTATTTATTCAAATAGGAAGTGATAAATAGAGAAAATTTGAATCAAAAAAACACATGGGATTTTTTTTATAGGTTTTACATACCAAAATGATTTTTAGAGTAAATTTTTCTTGTTAATAAATTTAAATTTTCTTAAAATAATTTATTTATAATTAACGGGACAAGCTCTTTTGTACAAAAAGTACTTTTAAGTAATGATTGGAAGATGGGTTTTTGTTTTCATTGGACACTAGAAAACTGCTCAAAAAGATGTTGAATTTTTTACGATTTATCTTTATTAAAAAACAATTTTTTATAATAACTAAGGTGGAATGTCACTGTTTATCATTTATTCCAATTGATAACAGATGGACACCGGATTCACTTGGCAATTTTTCGTTTTTGCGAGCACTGCGGAATACTCCGAAAAGTGAGGTTTGGTAATTAAATACCTAACCACCAGGGATGGGTCGTTCGGTTTCAAACCAAGATTAGGGTAACATCTCAATTGCGAGTTCAAATATTTTTGCCAACTGACAAACATTATTTATTACTTGTAGGCCTATTATTGTCAAAAACTTTGTTTTCGCCTTCAAATGGTAACCAGATGTTGAATTTTTACGATTTATCTTTATTAAAAAACCACTTTTTTCACTATAATATGGAAAGTCACTGTTTGTCCATCATTTATTCTAATTAGTTCACACTAACAGGTAGAAAGGTTTCAGGAGATAAAAACTTGTTTTTGAGTTAGAGAAGCAGCTCGACATTCGGTCATCGTGACCCAGCGATTGACACACGGCACGCGACCAGTTTCGAATAATATGGTCTCGCCACTATACATAAAAGGTGCGGATTCATCCATATTATACCAACAAAAGATACTTGCATAACCATGACATTCCTGAAACAACATTCACATTAAAAAGCACACATTAAATATCACTAACACTTTTATGCATTGTATACCCCAGGACACGCACGTACGTTTTATCACATGAGCCCTATCGCGAATAGAGAAAGTGCAAAACATGCCGCAATCTCAAGAAATGGAACACTTTATTTTCAGAGAGAGAGACACACCCACACGTCTTATTTCGTGATCGACAATAATAAATTTTCCTCCATCAACTCTTGAATTTAAAAAAAACGCTTAATCCTAACCTCAAATTTTATCTCTTTTGTTCAAGTTGAAAAAAAATAGAATTGAATGTAGAATTTCCATTATAGTACACATATAAATATCATGATGCACAATGAGCCTTTTAATAGTAAATATATAAAAGCCAGGAGATAAAATTACGTGATCACGTGGTCTCGAGAACGTTCCTTATAACCTTAACTTTATAATAATAAACGCGAGAGAAACAGCTGGTTTCATTACAATTAGTTTCCTTTCTATTTCCCCTCTTTATAAATGATTATTTCCTTCATTAGACTGTTAGACATCGGGAGACTTGTTATTTCATTGCCCGGAAATTAATAGTTCAACAACATTTATACATGAATTTCTTACTTTTTTTTAATTATAGCAAAAAAATATTTAATCGCATTTAAGAAAATTAAAATTCTCTCTAGAAATAGTTTTTATGGTAATTGAAATAATGTATGAAATAGATATATATGAAATGGATAGTGTTTCTTTCATGTGGAGGAAAATGGAAAAATAATATATATAATCAAATATTTTACGGTTATTTTAACATTCAAACTGCGAGGGTATTATTTTCCCAAAATTAACATATTTTTCTTGAAGATATCATTTTGTTCTCACTATTAAATATCTTTGCCAAATTTTTCAGTTTTTTTTACAGTCGATTTTTTATTTCAATTCCCAATTTTTTTACAAAAAAGAGAGAGACAGAGAGAAATTTGAGAAAAAGGAAAATAAAATAAAACAAAAATGTAGAAGAAAATTAAGAATTCAATAATTGAATAGCGCTTTTAGTAAAATGGAAATATTTATGAAAGTGTCAAAAAGTGAAATTAAAGTTAAGAAAAAAAGAGGAATCACTTACCAAGAGAATCGTCAGCGTGGCCCCCCGCCAGTCCATGGCTAAAATAAAAGAGAAAGTCCTTATTAATAACTGGGTCGAAATGCCCGCGGTAAGATAGTCTGCACATACATCATTTCACACTAGTTGTGAAGGTTCTTCCCCCCTCGTTAAAAAAAACAAATACACAACACATGAAACTGCCGAAATATCCCTTTCACTTGATCTCTTCCCATAAAATGATGTTTCTTTTTTTTTCTTTCTTAAATCGTTTCAAGTATATCAGGAAATGGTAATTTTTTCTAATTTCTAATTTCTTTCTCATGTGTAATTGTTTTTTTTTTACTTTCTATTGTTTAAAAATACGTAATTTGGATTAAATTGTGATCCTTATAACAATTTTGTATAATTATAGATTATGTTATGCTGGAAATTGTTTTATAATTACATCAAAATTCGGGTATTTTGAGAGAGAAATTTTTTAGGCCTGGCTTCTTATTTACTTTTTACTTCTAGGGCAAAAAGCGACCCTTTTTTAACCTCCTTTCATTTAATATGATTCTGACATGGACCAGTTAATTACTAGCCATCAGGGTTGGGCAGCCGAATTTCGAGAGTCTGCATGCAAATATTTCTAATTTTTGGTGATTCCCCCGGGATTATTCGCATAATGTTTATGGTCCGTTTACATTTTTCTCTTATTTTATCAGAGTTGCTAATAATTTTTATTAATCCGAAAGTCCAATATAACCTTAAATTTATTATGACGCTAAATACTATTTGCCATTTTATTATTCTTGTCCATCAAATTTATTTACAGTAAATGCTTTTATGACATAATAATTTCTATCGTTTTTATTCAATATTCGAACTAATATTTAAATTTTTTTAGATCGAAAATAATCAGTAATTTTTAATTTAAATATTTCAATAATTTAATCCAATACTTTTGGTTTTCAATGTTTTCATAAAATACAAAAAAAGCTCGATCGTAAATATAACCTAAAAACTGCTAAAAAGAGTTCCTTATTTACAAGTGTATAATTTTTTAGAATTTGTTTATAGCTAATTTTTTCTATTTCTCTTTTTTCGAAATATGATTTAATAATACAATCTAAGCTTAATTCTAAAATATAATTCGAAAAAATATAAAAACAGAAAACATATTCTGACAACAGATGATTACTAGCTTTCAGGGTTGGGTAGCCGAATTTCGAAAGTCCGTATTTGCAAATATTTCTAATTTTCGGTGATTCCCCCCGGTTTTTTCGCATAGTGTTTAAGGTCCGTTTACACTTTTCACATGTTTATCAAAAAGTTGGTTGCAATTTTTTTTTTCTACAAAAACAGTTTGTAAACATCAACAAAAGTTAAACAATGAATACAATTTATTAATTTTGTGAAAAAATTGACTTTTAAGAATTTAAATCACCTTTTTATGTTTACTACTCGTGTTTTTTTTTATTTCGTATGTTTTATTTAAACTACTATAATTTAATAAATCACGAGTCTAAGTAAATATTAAATTTTCTCGTCATACCTTCAGCAATAATCTCAGTTCTACAATTCCTTCACTGAAAACAACTTTCATTGCTTCAATTATAACGATTTCAATTATTGTCCTTTTACTGCTTCAAATGACAATTTTTATTATCAACCGCACATTATATTGTTCCGGTAAATTCTTTCATTTCATTGCAACATTTCACTTAAAAAAAACAACAACAATGAAAATTATTACAAAATAAAAAAAGTCACGAAAATCATGATAATTTTACGAATTTTTCCTCATAGAAAAAATAATTGAAAGAGTCCCGAAAGTCACTTTATCAAACTCGTGCCTCAGTATAAAGAATAGTTCTCCAAGATGGCGGCCGGAGACGCAGGAACGTGGGAATTTGTTTGATACAAAATTTCGTTGTGTGCCAGGGAATGGGGAAGAAAAAAACCTTAGGGGGCCGGAAGTTGAAGAAAAATATGTGGTCAACTGATGATTTTTGATGTCCACTTCCGGCCCAAGAATAAGTTTTCAATTGAGACAATAAGTTGGGAAAGCGATTGCACATAAAAGAATGAGGATACGCATTCACGTTCACTTCTTTGATGAGACAGTTGATGGTGTGTTGACCTCTGGACCGGAACGAGATCGCCACGACGTATTACCGGCATTTCCTGTTTTTTTTCCACCAACTTTTTTTTTAAATAAAGAAAAAAATCGGTTTTTTTCTATTAATGAACGCGACGACGCGATTTTATGAGAAGTTTAAGGCGCATGATCCGAGACCAACTGCACCGGGACCGACATCTCACGAGGTTCTGCCTTCTAGGCACGAGAAAGGAGCAAAGGAAATGACCGGGATTGTTCAGGGACGGCTGTCTACTTTCCAGATCCTAAACCCTTTCTCTCCTCGCAAAAATGCTTTCAATAAATTTTTCGCATTTCTAAATTTCTTATTCATTACGTTTCTTTTTTTTTATTTTTCCCCAAGAAGAATTTAATCAAAATAGAATCAATAAATTTTTTTAAACTCCAGTAGTCTGACTCAAATTTCCTTTTTTGTTTTGGTTGTCCTTTTCTATCTCATTATTCACGTTAATGAACGAGGCAGTGTAAACCAGCCTTTATTGTAATTTTCACGTGAGAGAGAAAAGGACAAAAATATCGTTTGCCTTTTTCTAGTTCTCGTTAATGAACGAGGCGGTGTGAACAAACCTTTATCGTAGATCTTACCTGAGAGAGAAAAGGACAACAATATCGTTTGCCTTTTTCTCGAAAAGGACAAAAGACATTCCTATCCTTTTCTCTCTCACGTAAAAATTACAATATTGCTTTCGTTCTGCTTATACACTTAACCTAAAAAAAAATTACCAAACCAATCGAAAGAATTTCTAAAATGATATTTAAAGGAAGTAAAAATGACCGGAAATAAAACGTTAACTAAAAATTATTTATTTTTCCAATCGGAATCGACAGCATTTAGTCAAAAACCGGTTTTTTTTTAAATTGGCGGGAAATATTGCTCACCAAATGCAACTTATGAAAGAGTGAAAGTTCATTAAAATAAAATTAATCTTTCTAAATTGAAATTTAATAAATATGCGAGCAATCACGTCACACATGTATGAATGTAAAAAGACAAAATAAAAAAAAATGCAAAATTGATTAAAAGAAAAGAGCATTTGCACGCAAATACATACAGTTATTCAGTGGATAACAAATTTTTCGACACCGGAAGCAGGTGTTTCGTTAAGTTTAAGGGGGGGCCCAACGAAAATCAACCCAAGCGGAAAATAAAATCGTCATAATGAAAATTCAAGGTCAATATTTAATGGTGTTCACTAAAACGTAAATATTCGGTGTTTCGATGAGTTTTCTAACGCCTTGAAAGTCAACTCAAAAAAAAACAAATAATGTACTAATTTTTAAAATAACAAAAATTATTTTTAAAAATAACAAAAATTATTTTTAAACCTGTAGACACTGTATAGATACTTTAGTGCATTGAACTAATAATGACACACAATAATAATTATTTAACATAGACTAATTAGCATTTCTACTTATCGTAATCGTTAATATTAATGAATACATTGATTATAATGAATTGATAATAATTTAATCTGTACATTTTTAAATATTTGTAAATATAGTTTTTCTTCATTTAATCATTTATAAATGGAATATATTAATATTAGAACAAATTATAATTATTAAATAATTAACTATAGGTATAATTATTTTAAAATAATTAACTGTAATTAATTAAAAAAAAAGAAAGAAAGAAATCTTTATGTAATTAATTAAAATCAATTAACTATAATTAATTAAAAATAATTAACTATAATTAATTTAAAAATAATTAACTATAATTAATTTAAAATAAATAACAATAATTGAAAGTATCTAAAAGTAATTAAAAATAACTGAACATAATTCCAAATAACTAGAAATTAAATAACTAAAAATTACTAAAAAAACATATAAATCAAAATTACCAAAAAATTGTTAAAATAACTGAAAATAAATCAAATAAATCAAAATAGATTAAAAAATATCAAAATATCTCAAAATAATTGATGATTAAATAAATAATTCAAAATAATTGACAAAAATGTTAAAATAACTAAAAAATATTTCAAAAAAGCTGAAAATAATTCCAAATAACTAGAAATAACTGAAAAATAATTTAAAATAACTAAAAATTACTAAAAAAAACTAAATATAAATTAAAATTACAAAAAAAAATTCTTAAAATAACTGATAATAACTAAAAATAACTAAAAAATACTAAAAAGAAAACTAAATATAAATTAAAATTACAAAAAAAAATTCTTAAAATAACTGATAATAACTAAAAATAACTAAAAAATACTAAAAAGAAAAATATTAACGCATGAAATTTGTAAAAATAAGTAAAAATAGTTCAAAATAACCAACAATATTTAAAATAAAATGCAAATATACTTAAATAACTAAAAGCAACTAAACATACTTCGAAATAACAAAAAAATACTGAAAACAATTTTAAATAACTGAAAACAATTTAAAATAACAAAAAAAAATATTAAAATAACTAAAAAATGATTTGAATTAATAAATATAATTATATTCATATGTAAAATTTCATACGCAACTTGTAATTCTAGAATTTTAGTTTCTTTTTCAATACATATACATATATACAAAATGTCTCGCGCACTAGACAAACGTGTACATATATAATTTTATTTACTTTTAATAAGCTATGCAATAAATGGCATCAAAATTAAATTTCAATATCAGGCTTGCGCAAAATCTCGTTTCTATTAAATCACACGCAAATGTTTGTCACAAACTCGTTTTTGCTCCGCATTAACTTTCACAAGAATATCTATATATACTTGAAATCGAAAGGTGGTTTTAATTTTAACACAATCTCCGAATTCAGTTCCTTGTTGAAATCAAACATTAAATTAAATTCCATCGATTAATTTATATATTAATATTTAAATAAGATGATTTTTAATAAAAATCATCAGCGAAAGTTTTGTACTTTTTTCCGAACATTAAAAAATTTTTGAA